AGGTATTCCCGTCAGAGTGCCCCCTTACATCAGGTATTCCAGTCAGAGTGCCCCCTTACATCAAGTATTCCCGTCAGAGTGCCCCCTTACATCAGGTATTCCCATCAGAGTGCCCCCTTACATCATGTATTCCATCACATCAGGTGTGCCCATCAGAGTGCCCCCTTACATCAGGTATTCCCGTCAGAGTGCCCCCTTACATCAGGTATTCCCGTCAGAGTGCCCCCTTACATCAGGTATTCCCATCAGAGTGCCCCTTACATCATGTATTCCCATCACATCAGTATTGCCCATCAGAGTGCCCCCTTACATCAGGTATTCCCATCAGAGTGCCCCCTTACATCATGTATTCATCCCCGTCAGAGTGCCCCCTTACATCAGGTATGCCCAGTCAGAGTGCCCCCTTACATCAGGTATTCCCGTCAGAGTGCCCCCTTACATCAGGTATTCCCGTCAGAGTGCCCCCTTACATCATCACATCAGGTGTGCCCATCAGAGTGCCCCCTTACATCAGGTATTCCCGTCAGAGTGCCCCCTTATCAGGTATTCCCCGTCAGAGTGCCCCCTTACATCAGGTATTCCCATCAGAGTGCCCCTTACATCAAGTATTCCCGTCAAGCCCCCTTACATCAGGTATCCCATCAGAGTGCCCCCTTACATCATGTATTCCCATCCATCAGATTGCCCTTTCTTACATCAGTATTCCCGTCAGAGTGCCCCCTTACATCAGGTTTGTGCCCCGTCAGAGTGCCCCCTTACATCAGGTATTCCCATCAGAGTGCCCCCTTACATCAGGTATTCCCATCAGAGTGCCCCCTTACATCAATTGTGCCCATCAGAGTGCCCCCTTACATCAGGTAAAGCGTGCCCCTTTACACTCAAATACCGTATCCCTTTCTATTAAAAAATTGCCCCTTTCCACTGCTCAGAGTGCCCCCTTAAGATAAAATGTGCTCCTCAGAGTGTCCCTTTACATAAAATGTGCTCCTCAGAGTGCCCCTTAACGTAAAAAATGTGCTCCTCAAAGTGCCCCTTAACAAAAAATATGCTCCTCAGAGTGTCCCTTAACGTAATATGTGCTCCTCAGAGTGCCCCTTAACGTAATATGTGCCATTTAGTGACTGCTGGTTTAGGGGATGTCTTTTTAGGGATTTTATTGCTGAAGAACGGGATGGGGTACAGGGTGATGCGGGGTACTCCAGACTCACTGAATATTTTCAGGAGGACATTTCACTTTGCTGATCCTCCATGAACTCTCTCGCTGTCTCTATGCAGGAACAGGTACAGATGGCAGAACCGAGTCCTCTTTAAAAGCTATCTCAGACAGTTTGGAACACTGGATCTTTCACTCAATGGAAACAGCACACAGTCAGTAGGACCCCGAGCTCAGGCCAGTGTGACGGATTGCCTGGCACCCCGTCTGGGTGCTTCCATCAAAGAACTGTTTCCTCGCCACTGGGACCAGGAGCAAGGTATTACAGTGGGGCATTGCACCCAAAAACTAGATGACACTAGCCTAGGTGCAACGAGCAACTCTCTTTACTGTCAATTCACACAGAATTTATACCACGCATAATCAAGTGAGAGCGTGATCACATTACCCTAAACAATGCAAACTGTAAACAGTAATATCATCAGTACATCTAATGAACAGCCAACAGCTGACAGCGATCTAATTAACAGGAAGCTAATCAACAGCCAGGCACCCAGACAAAGCTTCGATTAATCAGGGCGCCCACCACAGGCAGTCCGGCAACAAGCCCACCCCTGAGTACGTTACCCATGCTGTCTTCCAGGTACTTGTGTAATCTGTCCACTAGAAAAGTCGTCAGAAGAAAAAGTGGAATGAATGTGTCTTCATAGATTACTTGAGGGAGATCGCTGGTAAATATTTCTGTCCCAAGTGGAGGAGCTTCTCCAAACCCAGTCTGCCGGAGGGCCCCATATATTTCCTCCGACCATTCACCTGTCCGAGAATAATATCATTCCTTTCCATCCAATCCAGAAGGAAGAAGACTTATTGTCTTTATTCAGAGAAATATTCCACGCCTCGCTCTCAGCGTCCATCCATTGTTGTCCATCATTAGAGAATGATCTGCTCCCTCCATGGGTCATAATCAGTGGGTAGAAGGCTAGGCCTAGTCCCCTCCAACAGTCCCTAGTCCCCTCCAACAGTCCCTAGTCCCCTCCAACAGTCCCTAGTCCCCTCCAACAGCCCCTAGTCCCTCCAACAGCCCCTAGTCCCGTCCAACAGCCCCTAGTCCCCTCCAACAGTCCCTAGTCCCCTCCAACAGTCCCTAGTCCCCTCCAACAGCCCCAGTCCCCTCCAACAGTCCCTAGTCCCCTCCAACAGCCCCTAGTCCCTCCAACAGCCCCTAGTCCCCTCCAACAGCCCCTAGTCCCCTCCAAGAGCCCCTAGTCCCCTCCAACAGCCCATAGTCCAATCCAACAGCCCCTAGTCCCCTCCAACAGCCCCTAGTCCCCTCCAAGAGCCCCTAGTCCCCTCCAACAGCCCCTAGTCCCCTCCAAGAGCCCATAGTCCCCTCCAACAGCCCATAGTCCAATCCAACAGCCCCTAGTCCCTTCCAACAGCCCCTAGTCCCCTCCAAGAGCCCATAGTCCAATCCAACAGCCCCTAGACCCTTCCTTTTCTGAATGGACAGTCCGTGATCAGTACCGATCACTCCGCTGTCCATTCATAACTGAAACATAGTAAACTGTGTTTACTATGCTTCGGTTTATGAATGGACGGGAAGCTCTGTACAGAGTTCATCCTGTCCATTCATTCTGTGAGGATGCAGAGTAGGAGACTGAGGTCCACTTCCTCAATCTCCTTTCTCTGTCCCAAAGGTGGAACATCAGAGGTCTGTTTAGACCCCTGATATCTCATCAAAGCCCATCAAAAAAAGGCATTTTAACATACACTTTTACATATATTTGTAAATGCATTCCAAAAATGTAGATTTGTATTTTTTAAACTTATTTTTTAACAATAATTTATTTATATATTTTGTAATAAAAACTCATTTCAACATGCAATACATATATACAGGGGCGGACTGATCATTTGGAAACTCGGGCACTGCCCGAGACCCCGGGGTCAGTAGGGGGCTGACTGACAACTCATGGGGCCGTAGGGGAAGTAGGGGATCATGGGGCCCCTGTGTCCTTGCCCAAACTCAAAAAAGCCTATGAAAAAGGTACCAGGGGCATCTCATGGGGCCCCCTACTGACCCCGGGCCCTCGGGCAGTGCCTGAGTTTCCAAATGGTCAGTCTTCCCCTGGTAACTATGCATATATAAGTAATTAGGTATTAGTAAGAAGATCTATAAAAGTGACCAGTCATAAGGTGCTAACAAATCAATGGATAAGGTGACTCAGCGGTAACATAAAACGTTGTCACTATATAGTGACCAGTAGTGCAAACAATAATCAACAAAGAGTCCAAATAAGTGCATGGAAGATCATGGAGATTTCCGATATCTAGTGGTCTATCCGGTAAGGTGGTGATGTGGCCAAAAGTATAAAGACTGCGCACTCACCAGATGCGCAATCAATGTGCGCATTTAGAGATGACACTCTCAGTGGTAAAACTGGAGGCCCCTTTAAAGTAAGTAAGGTTTGGTCTGGTCTGATGTCCCTCACTGCTCAACTCCGCTGTCAGCAATGGTTCTGCCCCTCCTTTCATGCAGCTCTGTGGGTGGTGAGATGCTCACAGGGAGCCCCACAAAGAGGAGACCAATAGCGTGATATCGTTTAAGATAATGTCTGTTTATAATATATATATATATATTTTTTTTTTTTTTTCTTTTGGGAGGGGGGGAGTTTCAAGCCATGGTCGTACAGGGGTGCAGTGGATGGCATGTCGCAGCCCCTTTATGCGACATATTGCAGCCATTGATTTGACATGGAGCAGCGAGAGAGCCGGAGGAGTAATCGTCTATGGCCTTCTCCCCTGGCAGAAGCTGAGCTGGTATTCTTCTCCAGCCGGCAGCACTTGGCAGGGAGGTGGAGAGATGGATTATCGGCTACAAGCAGTGGGGTCATTAAATAAAGATTGCTTTAAATGGTGTGTTGGCAGGAGGGTGCGGGCACCATCAGTCATCCAGGCTGAGCCGCTGCCAGGGAGCGCACACAGCTATGCTGGAATCATTACAGTAGACGTTTCATCTGCTCATACGTTGTATTCGCCTTCCCTGGATACTTCCTCCCCTTTAACAAGATAATGACATTTTTAAACAAATCCTTTCCGTTTGCATGACATTCCTTATTTTAGACCCAGGGACATCATCACTGGGTCTCTGTGCTTCTCTATGCAATGTGGGCACAATATGGCAGGTAGGAAGGCCTGGGAGGATTCTATACATAGCTTCTTGAAAACAGCACAGCCACCTGCCTCAGTATTCCTCTCAAGAGCCCTCAGTCCTGGTGCAAGCAGTGGGAGGAGTTATACAAATATCAAAATGCCTTGATGGGTGAATGTTAATCTGGAGGAGTGGGCATTCCAAGGCAAGGCTGCCACTTCATGGATAACACCCACGTGTGATGCTGAGCTTCCGTGATTGACAGAACTGAAATCCAATGAATGAAAGGGGTGGGACAGGCAGGAGGGGTTGAACGTGTTTTTCTTATAACGTTTTGCAAATAAATAATCTTTCTTCATAAATCTTGGCCAAAATTTATTTGGTTATCTTTTTAGTAAAAAAAAATAATAACCCAAATTAGTTTATAACCAAAATTTTTAAGTTTTTTTTTACATTTTTATATTTTTTTTAATATATTATTATTTATGTTTTTTTTTTTAACATACTGTCACCCCAGCAGTACAGTCACCATGGTGACACTGTACTACTTGTGGGGGGTGAGGAAGATTTTATTTTTTACACTGATTGCTTTTACACCCATAAAGGCTGTAAAAGCAATCATTTCTCCTCTCTGGCTGCATTCTTGCAGCCATTGAGAAATACTGTGAGAGCTGTGAATGGTTAAAGCTTGTCACATGGTACAAGGCTGTTGTGAATAGCTCTGTACCATGTGACCTCTGTGATCATTCACAGATTTCACACGTAGTAAGCAATGTCAGAAGTGAGATCTTGCTTACTACTATTCATGTGATCACTGATTGGCCAATCAGTGATCACATGATTGGGACCTCACACAGAGGTCCAGCAATCAGTGTTCTGTGTCCAGGGGACACAGCAGGCACCATATCGCGGTGCTGTGCGCTCCCAGGGAGTGCGCACAGCCTGAAAATGCGTGTGCCTATATCACAACCTATATGGGGTGACACCGGACCCGCTCCACGAAAAGGTAAGTTGTAAAGCAAGCCGACGATCCCCGCAGGATGGATCAGATCTGTGGATTGGGGAGAAATACTGTGTGAGCTGTGATTGGTCACAGCTTGTCACATGGTACAAGGCTGTTGTGAACAGCCTTGTACCATGTGACCTCGATGATCATTCACAGATTCCACACATAATAAGCAATGATATCAGAAGTGACATATTGCTTACTACTATTCATGTGATCACTCATTGGCCAATCAATAATCGGGACCTCACACAGAGGTCCTGTACAGCGATCGGTGTCTGGAGGACACAGTGGGCACCGGATCATGGTCCTGAGCGCTCCCAGGGAGTGTGCACAGCCTGAAAATGTGGGTGCCATTTATGAACGGCAACCCGCCCCTGCACTGCTCCCATTCCAGACGTTACATGGGCCGGACAGGAAGTGGTTAGCTGTCAAAATGTCCTGAAATTCCCCTTTTCTGTGGTATCAAAGGAGTGTTGGCAGAGGCCATCTGACCAGGTCTAAGGGGTGGTTGCTGGGAGGTCACCTGTTTATGGCCAAGTCCCAGATACAGTTTCCTATAAGTTTTAATAACTGTGAATATCTGCAGAGTACCCTCCATATTATTATCCAGCATGAAATTAGCTTCACAATGAATATAGATATGACAGGTCTCAGATAATTACTGTACTTCTCATAGGAGAGGTGTGGAGCCATACATGGGATCGGTTCCAGGAATTGTGATCACCCTCCCTGCGCTCATTTTATTCACCCAGCTGCCTGGGCCCCAACAGTGCCGGCTTCACCCAGATCCTTCCAGCTGCAACCGCACAATAGGATCCTTCAGGATGGAGAGTGGGGGAAGGGTCATGAAATTACCTTCACAATGAATATAGATATGACAGGTCTCGGATAATTACTGCACTTCTCATAGGAGGGGTGTGGAGGCCTAATGGTACCTCCTAACATAAGGGTGTTTGGGTTCAAAATGCTGCCCAATAACTGATGAAGGTTAATATGACCTTATTCTGGCTATACTGTCATAATTTCAGGAGATATGGAACATACTGGGATGCAAGGTCGTGGATAAGGGGGTACCACCAGTTCTGTATGGGACCCAGGCCAGCACAGGGGGCCCAGGCAGCTGGGTGAATTGGATGTGGGCAGGGAGGGTGATCGGCACAGTGGGGGGTAATTATTGGAATTGATCCCCGTATTGCTCTCTCTTCAGCATCTGAAAGCTGGATTCTTCTCCTCTCCCTCCTGCTGGTTTTCAGCTGCTGCAGAGAGAGCCATGCAGGGGATCGGTTCCAGGAATTGCCGCCCTCCATGAGTTGACAGAGGCCATCTGACCAATCATCCGGTGTAAGGGATTGGTTGCTGGCAGGTCACCTGTTTATGACTAAGTCCCAGATACAGTTTCCTATAAGTTTTAATAACCATGAATATCTGCAGACTACCCTCCATATTGTTGTCTAGCATGAAATTAGCTTCACAATGAATATAGATATGACAGGTCTTAGATAATTACTGTACTTCTCATAGGAGAGGTGTGGAGCCATACAAGGGATCGGTTCCAGGAATTGCGCTCACCCTCCCTGTGCTCATTTGATTCACTCAGCTTCCTGGGCCCCAACAGTGCTGGCTTCACCCAGATCCTTCCAGCTGCAAACACACAATAGGATCCTTCAGGATGGAGAGTGGGGGAAGGGGCCGATAAATATGTCACATTAACCAGCCATTCCTTTCATGAATGAACACAATGAGTAATCGGTACTGATCATTCACTGTGTTCATTCATAACTGAAGCATAGTAAAACAGTGTGTGTGGTTTTTTTTCGAAAAAGGGCCCTGTTAGCCTGGCTGTATGGGGCACCCGTGGTTTCTAATGGCAGCCCTGCTGGGCTGATGGTCTCTACTGAAAGACATATATGCGTACTCTATGGATTCCATCTAAGGCAAGGGTGGGCAACTGTGGCCCTCCAGCTGTTGAAGAACTACAAGTCCCATGAAACATTGCAAAACTGACAGTTACAAGCATGACTCCCAAAGGCAGAGCCATGATGGGACTTGTAGTTCACCAACAGCTGGAGGGCCACAGTTGCCAACCCCTGATCTAAGGTATTTATGAGGTTGGGGCGTAGGTTCTGCAGTGGTGTACTTAGGTTTTGGGCTGCCCTAGGCAATACGCAATTCACCCCCCCCACCGGGAGAGAGCCTGACATTGACCAACAACACCCGGGCCCCCACCCACCCGAAAGAACCTTCCACTACCATTGCCCCCATACACCGGACACTCACCTTCACAGCTCTGGACATCCCCAGGAACGAGGGTCAAGCAGCCCGCAGCCTCTTTCAGATCACATCTGGTCCCCAAGCCGCATGTGTCCCTTCTGCCATCCCTTCTTCCAGGGGGGTGGTGCTGCCCCTCTGAAAAATGCCACCCTAGGCAAATGCCTTGTGGTAAATACTCCCCTGAGGTTCTGGGGGAATAGGATGGGGAGGGGGTTAGATACTGGGGGGGGGGGTTAAACATTGGGGTTTTGGTTCTTGGGTACTAAGATAGTGAGGTTTGCCGCTTGTCAGGATCCTAGGGCTCGGAAATGGGGCCAAATGACAACGAGGTCCCAGACTAGGATGCTGACCACCTGGCTTTATACACACTGTCAGAGCTAAAATAGTGAACAGTGGTGTCACCCTCACTTACAGGGCTCTGCAAATTATAAGACCGGCTGAACAGTTAACATACACATCTCATCTGTGTGTATAAATCCAGGTGGTCAGCATCCCCGTGGGAACGCATTGTCATTTTGGCCCCATTTCCGAGCGCTAGGATCCTGACAAGCGGCAAATTGTGTGAACTGGCAGGACTAATCAGGACATAATTTCCCTCAGCACGCCGGTGAAGATTGGAAAATGACCAAGAAGATGAAGTCGTTGAATCCTGAGACAGACGGCGGATCACAGAGGCAGCCTGCGATGTAGAATATTTCATACCGTGTCCGATGGACAGTATTCCAGGGACTGCCTGGACTGGGATCAAAAAGACCCTCATAATATATTTCATCAGACTTTTCTTTTTTATCACCTTTGTACTAATTGAATATTTATTCTGTCATAGTCCTGATGCAGCTGAAGAGTTGAAGGGGTCCCTGATTTCTGCACAGGGCGATCTCTATAGATCACCCCGAAATAAAAAACATACGTTGGAGTGTTTGTGGACAGTGAGGATTGGTGTTAGGGTTACAGAGAAGGACAGTGATCACTCCGGAGCAGGGGTGGACTGACAACTCATGGGGCCCCCGGGCAATAAGGGATCATGGGGCCCCTGTGTCCTTGCCCACACTCAAACCACACCCAAAAAAGCCTATGAAAGGTACCAGGGGCATCTCATGGGGCTCCCTACTGACCCCAAGCCCTCGGGCAGTGCCCAAGTTCCCATATGGTCAGTCCGCCCCTGCTCCGGGGTTACAGGGAGGGTCAGTGTTAGGTTTACAGAGAAGGATGGTGATCACTCCGGGGTTACAGGGAGGGTCAGTGTTAGGGTTACAGAAAAGGATGGTGATCACTCCGGGGTTACAGGGAGGGTCAGTGTTAGGGTAACAGAGAAGGATGGTGATCACTCCGGGGTTACAGGGAGGGTTAGTGTTAGGGTTACAGAGAAGGATGGGGATCATTCCGGGCTACAGGGAGGGTTAGTGTTAGGGTTACAGAGAAGGATGGTAATCACTCCGAGGCAGGGGTAGACTGACCATTTGGAAACTCGGGCACCGCCCGAGGGCCCGGGGTCAGTAGAGGGCCCCGTGAGATGCCCCTGGTACCTTTTTCATAGGCTTTTTTGAGTTTGGACAAGGACACAGGGGCCTCATGATCCCCTATTGCCCGGGGGCCCCATGAGTTGTCAGTCCGCCCCTCCTCCGAGGTTACAGGGAAGGTTAGTGTTAGGGTTACAGAGAAGGATGGGGATCATTCCGGGCTACAGGGAGGGTTAGTGTTAGGGTTACAGAGAAGGATGGTGATCACTCCAGGGTTACAGGGAGGGTCAGTGTTAGGGTTACAGAGAAGGATGGTAATCACTCCGAGGGCAGGGGTAGACTGACCATTTGGAAACTCGGGCACCGCCCGAGGGCCCGGGGTCAGTAGAGGGCCCCGTGAGATGCCCCTGGTACCTTTTTCATAGGCTTTTTTGAGTTTGGACAAGGACACAGGGGCCTCATGATCCCCTATTGCCCGGGGGCCCCATGAGTTGTCAGTCCGCCCCTCCTCCGAGGTTACAGGGAAGGTTAGTGTTAGGGTTACAGAAAGGATTACATGGCGGGGGGAGCAGGTTGCTGGGCACATGGAACTACAACAGGGGTCTCTAAAAGGGCCAGTTTATTGTCCTTCAGACTTTAGGGGGACTGGATTGTGGCCAGTGAGCTAGAAAATGTCCCAAGCTCAGTATCAGTGAGAATAAATATGGCCTCGGGGTTGTTGGTTAGCAGGGGGAGGTGCCTCATCCTTGGTATCAGTGGAAGGAATAATGCCTCATTGTTGGTGTCAGTGGAAGGAATAGTGCCCCATCATTCATACTAGTGGGAGGAATAGTGCCCCATCATTGGTATCAGTGAAGGAAATAATGCCTCATTGTTGGTGTCAGTGGAAGGAATAGTGCCTCATCATTGGCATCAGTGAAGGAAATAATGCCTCATTGTTGGTGTCAGTGGAAGGAATAGTGCCCCATCATTCATACTAGTGGGATGAATAATGCCCCATTATTAGTGTCAGTGACAGGAATTAGAGCCTCATATCATTGGGAGGAAAATTGTCCCAAGGGACAGATAAAGGCTAGCCAAGGGCCACAGTTTGGAGACCACTGCACTACAAGGTGACTCTTCTTGCCACCACCAGTCAGGCTGAGCCTACTCTTCCAAACCAGCGCCTATTTTCAGACCACAACTGGTCTCAAAGTCTCTACTCCCCAGGTTTATGTCTATCCTCAGTAAGTTGTACATTTCTGTAAGAATAAGAGGAGACTCAATCCAATTTCAATCTAATATTTTTACTTAATGGGAGGTTATACTTATATTGATGTTCTTTCACCATTAGCTTTTACTAATATTGCAAATATTACTCCATCGTTCATGGGTGGTATTCCAAGTCCCTCCACCCTAGGCTGTATCCAGCTATCCTGGTGGGCTCCAATTTGGAGCACGAGTTCTGGTTATTGCAGGAAGGGCTTCACATGGCCAAAAGCTAGGCCCATACATTGAGCTCATCTTTCTGGCCAGCTACCATCTTCTCCTCACACTTACTACTCTTCTCCTTCTTCCTACCCCACCAAATCCACAACTATCCCTCCTCGCAATGGGTAAAAACTACCTATTCCTAACAGGCCTTAAGCTGTGGACCACTGTTAGACCATGACCTCCTGGGCCTTCAGCTAGCTGCAGATCCTCTAATCTCCCA